TCAAAGGATAAGCAGTGTATTTAGCAATTTGTATAATAAAAAGAATTTTGCATATTGTTAGCAAACATCATTTGTGCTCATAGTCAAGATGTGGGCAAATAGCACAAGTGTAAATGTATCTCTTTCAATTGTTTCCTAGGAAAGAAGCAAATCAAGTATTGGAACCTTGTGTAAATGGCAAGAGTTGCCATGGATTTTTATTAAAAGTTAGATTAGATTGAAAAATTTATGTCAGCTTCCCCATGAATTCAGAGGTTTTTCTGGATAGTAACTGAAGTACTTTTAAAATAAAACAAACACTAGAAAACATTCTCCAAATGTAACTCATGAAAGAGAGTCCATTTTATATCCCAATTTTATTTACTTTTTCTGAATAGTCACAACATTAATCTACTAGGGATAATCTAGTTAGTATATTTGAAATTCCATTTATTTTTTTCTATTGATATGCTTGTGTTACACTTGTATATAATACAGAATTTCCAGTGTTGTTTTAAAGGACTCAATTAAAAAAAATGAGAAGCATGATCTACAATTTCAGACAAACCTAGGACAAATTCATAATTTCCAAAATAATACAGTTTTCTACTTTGTTCCAAAGAAATTAAATGCTGTTATAATTGATGCAAAAATTCCAGCACAACTGTTATTTTTTTCTTTCTGAATTCATACATAATCTCGAACCATTGCAAAATCCACTCAGAGCCATCTAATTAGTTTTATGTATAATTAACAGGGAGGGAGGAAGTCATTTCATCCCATGGACTTGTGGGGCAGTACACTTTGGTTCAGTGTTCAAAGTATACTTTACAAATTTAATTTTTAACAAATTTTACACTTTTAATTTTTCTGCCCAGAAGACATTCTGGGTAATGTACTGGTCTTTGAAATTTGTTACCAACTAACAGGCCAAAACTCTCCAAGGTATGTCAGCCTCCATCCTGGAAACCAACATAGACTTAATTCACCATGTCAGTGAGTTTTAAAAATATGAAAGATGGTCACATCTTTTCTAACATGATGGAACTTCTAATAGGACAATTTCTGAAGTACCTTCCTATTAGGCTAAGATGAGTAAACAAAGGAGTCTCTCCAGTTACATCCCTTCAACTAGACATTTACACAATATTATTACAGATTAGCTATGCATTTTCAATTCTTCTCTACCCTCACATAACAAATGAAATAAAATGTATAAAATTATACATTCTGTAATAAGTCAGAAAAAAAGTACATACATGTTTAAGGCCTTTAAATATTTGTAAGACTTTCCTGTAGAACTGAAGAACAAAAATATTAAAATGACTACAAAACTGTGGACAGAAACTGACCTAAGAAATTGTTTGAATGGGACAACTATAAGCAAATATTTATAAATTCGAGACCAAGGAAAATGAACAATTCTGTTAACGGACTGAACAAACAAATACATAAGCATTCAAACAGTCATTGGGAGTGAGCAAGGGACAGTCTATTAAAATGAAAGAAAGGACAGTTAGTTAAAAAAATTACTAGAAGAAATCTTAGTGAATAACTCTCAAGCTAAGAAATCAGATATCCACATGCGTCCCTGTCGATTTTTTGAAACTGAAGGCTTCCTACATACTTGACTGCTCACTGCTGATTTCTGTGAAGGGAAAAAGTGAATGTAAACATGAAAGAAAAAGCCCACTTGAAAAAAAACAAAAACAAAAACCGAGAGGGAGAGTACCCTTAGAAGTGCAAAATAGCATATAATGAAAATGGAAATTCAGTTCTAACTATTACCTATTTAACTGATAGAGAGCCGCAATAGTATGTTAGCCTTGGGGAAACATGTCAGCTTGTCTATACATTCTTATATGATTGATGTAGTCAGATAACTATTACTTGCCAACAATAATTATTATCAATGGATATATATTTCCATTCCTTTAACAAAAGCAACTTTAAGATGTTAAAACATGTAGGCTTTCAGAGCTCCAAGAATAGGATACAAATAAAATTGTCTCAGTCTACACCATGCCAGAGAAGTTCGCAAAGGAAATGTCAATAAAGGCGGGTGCAGTCCCACCAGCCAATGAACACAGGACCGGACCCAGGAACATATCCATGGCAGAAGGCCGGTGCACTTGGCAGACTTTCAGAAACAAGAAAAGCAGTCCCATTTGAGGCCAAGAACCCAAAAGGTGAGTGTCTCTGACATCACCTGGAAACACCAACTCTTCAGATGGCAACTTCAAATTCTCTTAGCAAGTGCAATTTTACAAGTTGAACACAGTTCAAATCTGACAAAATCTTCATGACACAGAAGTTCATGTCTGACTTTTTAAAAGTCTTGGTTTCAAGAAGAGGCTGATGACGAGCCATGAAATCCCTTGGAAATAAGACTCTGCAGCGCCTCTTGTGAGCGATATAAAAATCTCCCTTCAAGATCACCTCAGGAATTAAGTTTCTGTGCATATGTTCAATGTAATCAGGCTTGAGGATCACTTGATTTATCCTTGGTTAATGGGTCACCTATAAAGGAAGAAGAAAACAATCATTTTATAACAAGGCTATGATCTTCAAACTCCAAACACAATTTAGTATTAGAAATTAATAACTCAAAATGGTGGTATTTGCTATATCAAATAAATTGTTGAATTTTAAAGGACTACCATATTCACATTTTGCCACCTATAAAGATACACCAGTTTTTTTTTTTTCTCTTTATACTTTCACAGGATTTTTAGAGCCACCTGAACAACTATCCAAATGGCTGTAGCTCTGAGCAGGAAGATCTTAACTGGTGACACTACCCGTCTCAAATCCAAAGAATGATTCTGGAATCTTTGTTCTTGGTACAGACTTGGAAGATAGAAGCCAGAGATCATAAACACTTTATGCCAGGCCTCAGTAAAGAAAGACCTTTGTTCACAGGAACACAATCAGACCACATCTTCAAGAAAGTCCTTGGGCATTGGATCCATAAAATTCATTCTTCAAATAGTTTAAAACTTGAGTGCTTATTTGACTCAATTAGGTTTCAGAAAAATTAACTATTCATGAGGAGAAAAGAAATACCTGGGGAGAAAAACAATGATTGTACGATATTTTACCAAGTTTTAAAAGTGTCCAAAAATTCTCAAAAAATTGATCAATATTAATGCTATTGTTAATATTTTTTTTAAAGATTTATTTTTATTTATTTTGAGAGAGTGAGAATGAGAGAGAGAGAGAGAGAGCACACGAGAGGAGGGAGGGCCAGAGGGAGAAGCAGACTCCCCGCTGAGCAGGGAGCCCAATGTGGGACTCGATCCCGGGACTCCAGGATCATGACCTGAGCCGAAGGCAGTCGCGCAACCAACTGAGCCACCCAGGCGCCCGCTATTGTTAATATTATTAAGGGAGATTCCCACTGGCTTTTCACACCTACTTAAGTCCAAAGAATGTGTACAGGAAAAAATAATAAACATCTAGAATACTTGATACCTATATATATCTATCTCTATATGCGTACATGTAGATGATAGATGGATACAGAGAAAGACAGATTTCTGCTGTGTCGATGAATTCCTACTTACACTCTAATATCAAGGTACTTAGAGTTGCATAACTATTCTTTTCAAGCAATGGTTATAACAAAAAGTGAATTCTTGAAATTTACTGTGGATACTTTGGTTTTATTCCATTATATAATTACTCATCCCTTCATAAAATATTTATGGAAAGGCTGTTTTTTGTTTGTGTTGTTGTTTTTTGATCAACTCTGAAAAAGAGAAACATTAAGCAAAATAACCTAGCTCTGGCTCTGCCACCTCTGATCTCAAGTTACACTACAAAAGGAAGCTATACATTCAAAAACAAGTATTTTCTGTGTGGAGGCAGCCATCTTATTTATGTCTCTTTGGTCAGCTATCCTGCCCAAGAAGGAGCCTCTGCTTGCGTATTTAAAGCTTCTTACTCCCATGCACAGGGGAACTATGGGAGGAATTGAACTGGGGATAGAAGGACACAAATACAGAAAGGACCTGCTCACCTCCAGAGATGCTGGGAGCAGGGGCTCTCTTAGGTAGGGCAGCAATCTCACTTTCAATTTGTCTTCCACTTAGTGGTCATTTTATAGAAGTTCTGTGAATGGCTTCCAGTTTGAGTGTGAGTGTACTTTACCGTGGAAAGTAAACATGAATGTTTCTACAGACATTATGTCACAGGTGGTCAATGGAGGTAGCTGATCATTGTGAAAAATACAAACTCTTTATGATAGACTTTCTTATACTGATTTAACACAATCTTTGATGGCCATTGCCTGAGCAAGATCCACTTGCCTTTTCTGAAGATTCTCCTCTTACTAGCATGATAAGGGACTATATTTCCAAAACTAGTGCAAGGAAAAAAGAGGAATTGAGAGAGACTGAGAGAGAACAAATGGGTAAGCCTCAGCAGGGATTCAGCATAGGCAACTGGAAGGACATGATGCCGTGACGCCACAAGAGTGAGTGGCCTGTCCTGTGTCATTTCAAGCCCTGGTTCTTAGTAATCTGTTCGTGGGTACGGTAGATGCATTCTTCTATCTTCATTCCAAGCTAAGTATGTCATCCTGCTAGTTTATATAAAGCTGGGGAGTGATTCTCCCAGCTATATGTTAAAGCTTTGTTTTTACATAATTTTAAAAATAGACACTCAAATTTACAGTACAATACCAAAGGTTTATGGACGTAGAACAAATTTTTCGTCCATCTCAGTAAACATAACATGTATACACATAAACACATAATACAATGCACATCCTGAGAACATCATAAATCTACATTTTTATTCTATCAGCTAAAATAATTGCTAGAAAATAAAAATGTAAACATGACTAAAAGAATTGTCTAAGCATAGATCAAAACATGATTAAAATGACTTTTTTCCTCCAGTTTTACACAATATTCCTAGTTTATTAATCCTAAAAGTATGCTAGCACATTTTATGAGATGAAGATAGGGCCTAAGTGGACTATTTGTTTTAGATTTCAGTTTTGTAAATTACTCTGATCAAGTAATTGCGTGGCGTGTGGAGTTCAAGGTTACAGTCAGGGTGGTAGTACTTGCAGGCACAGTGGATGCATCATGCCACCTCTCGGACCCCCAGTATTCCTGTACGTAGAAAGGGGATAATCCTGTTAACCTCACAGGGTTGCTGCAAGGATCAAATATAATAATGCTTATGAAGTAAGCATCTATTCTGAAGTAGTATAATAAAAGTTCAGAGTTTTGTGTAATGCACAAATCTTTAACAAGAGAACCACTAAAAGTATAATGAGAGGTTCACACTACCAGACACTTAAGTCAAATTAGAGGAACTCTTAAGGAATCCAAACAAAGGCTAAGTAATTACTTGCCCTTCGCAAGGTAGTACAAATTTGAACATTTGTGAGCATGGCTCAGCACCTTCCTTGACAACCTCCAGATTTGTACCAAATGAAATGGCAAAACCAAAGATTTAAAAACGTAAGGATGATTTTGAATGTAGGTACATTATCACCAATTTTAATCACCTAATACACAAGACACGGTAATATTTAAAATGAAATTGTCTAAAGTATAACACAAAAAACCAACCCTTTGATAATTTACGTGCTTGTTAAACAAGTCCAGGTTACTCAAGTCAGAATTCTGGCATGCTAGTTGGAAAACAAGTGCCATTTGACCCTTCCCTGATATGCAAGGGTTGTTTAAGCAATATTAGCACAATCTAACATTTAAAAATGTTGCTCTTAAATTAATTTTTAAATACACCACATTAAGCATTGCCTTATTTTTAGAACTTAAATCTAGCTCTCTCTCTCTCACTCCAGCCATATCTTTGGGAAGAGGCCAAACAGTAAAAAGTGGTAGCTTGTAAAGAGGATTTTCAGCAAGTTTTCAGTAACTAAAAGCAGGACGTTGCAATAAAACCACCTTTACAGGGTAGGAAATATCATTTGCTACCATGAACGTACTGTATTTTGGTTCTGAGGGCAGTAGATATAAAATACTGCATGAGGGAGAGAAATGGTCCTGCCATCATTACAGTTGTGCCTTGAGCTTCTTGGTTTTAATCACCACCTCAGTGAATTTACCTTTCCAAAGGCAATGTTTCACACAGCTGTTCCTTTTTATGTAAATCTTATGTGTGTGCTGCACACCAGCCAATTCAGCAGCCAATTGACAGCTGAATACAAGCAAAAGGTAATAGTAGTAGTAGTAGTAGTAGTAGTAGTAGTAGTAGTAATGGCAGCTTTTCTAGTCACAAGCACAAAGCTATCTCAGTAATGACCCACCAGGACGGAGCTAACCTGCTAACATTAAACAAAAAGCACTAATTCTTTAAGAATTATCCCCTTTTTAAAAAGCCCATCCCATTTATTTCTCTCAGTCTAACAAATCTATTATAGGATCCTGATTATCTCAAAAATTTGTGCTAAAATCACATCCTTTAAGTCTGTTCACCAATTTAATCAGAGAAAACCAGGTAATGGCATACATAATGTTAGTTAAATATGAAATTAAGTCAGCTATTTTATAGTTTTTATTTTATATTTTGAACATTATGCAGTATCCTCTGCCTATCTTCTAGTGAAGATAAATTAGAAAGGCTAAAAAGGAAATTCAAGAATCTATCCTGTCCCCAAGTGTAAAAGATGATTTTATAAAGTTCTTAAAATAATTCTATTCATGGAGTCTGTAATTCCTTATTCCCACTCAAGTTCTGCCGCCTGAGTTATCAGTGAGAGGCAACACACTATGATCAGAGGGATGACAGTGCAGCCTGGGTTCAGATCTCTTCCTTAGCATTTTCTCACACTGTGGGGCTGAATAAGTTATTTGAACTCCCTGAGCCTAGTCTTCCCCAAGGATAATATGAGAATGGTATTACCAGACCCCATGCATTTGCTATTGTGGTTAAATCAGATAATCCTTCCAAAGTGTCCAGGTAAATGCTTTTTTTTTTTTTAAGATTTTATTTATTTGACAGAGCGAGAGAACACAAGCAGAGGCAGTAGCAGAGGGAGAGGGAGAAGCAGGCTCCCCGCTGAGCAGGGAACCCGACGCAGGGCTCGATCCCAGGACCCTGAGATCATGACCTGAGCAGAAGGCAGACACTTAACCATCTGAGCCACACAGGCACCCGGGTAAAACATAACTGGTGGTAGTAGTAGTAATTCCCAAACATGACACAAAAGGTGATACATAGGATAATTATTGGAGGGGGCATTACTGCTGCTTTCTCTGTAAGTATTGATTTAAAGTTAATTTTCAGTGTCTTATAGAAACTGACCTTGCAGTTACTCATTTCGTATTCTTAATAGTCATAAAGTCATATCAAGAGGGAAGCGCCACTGTTTGGGCCTACTTTGGGAGTGAGACACTTTTCAGATGAGGTGATATGGAGTAGTGGTTAAAAAGAGTGTACCTGAAGCCAGGCTTCCTAGGTTCAGTGCTCAGTTCTGCTGATAACTCAGTGTGTGACCTTGAGTAAAACAGGGATAGTATTAGTACCTACATCATAGGGTTGTATGAGCTGAGGAGTAAACAAACTAATAGGTCAAGTGCTTAGAACAGTGCCAGGCATGAAATAAACACTGTGTAAATGGTAATTATTATTATATATTATATATAAACACACATACACTTCTAGCCCTCTGAATGCACTGAATTCCTACTTTTTGCCCTTATTTCTGATCATTTATTACTAGTGTTTATAGACACATAATCCATTCTTTTTCATTCTTTCTTTGTCTTTTTAATGGGCCAGCTGCCATCAGACTTTGCATACAGAATATTTAGGAAATTAGCACTATATTTTAGCCATCTAGCCTTAAAAAATAAATGTGGTATAATTATGCCAAAACAAAATGCCGATTTGTAAATTTTCTTATTAGTGATGATTCCTCTGATATTATTCTACTCTGAGTTCTAACCCATACTCCAGATTTTTTAAATTCCAGTTGTTCAGTTTGCCAGTCTACATAAAGTTGTGAAATCACTGCCAAATTTCCACAGCACCAATGTGAATCTTATCATTTTAGCTTAATTCAAAAAAATAATCTTTTCTCCAGTGTGGTCGTTAAAATCTTGTTATGAGAAACTATTGAACAGTATTTACGTTCCTGCGAATATAAAATGGGTCATATACAGACAATAATAGAACAGACAATGCATTATGAACATTACAAGTCAATTTCAAAAAACATGTTGAATTTACAGTAAATACCCAAGTTATTAGAGAAACATTTATTTTTGACTGATGAACAATATTTAAACAGTTGGAAGGCAAGGAATAAATATGTGGCAGTATTTCCAAAAGGAGGTGGTAGGTTTAAATGCAGTGCATGTTCAGTCTTTATAATACAGCTGCTTCATGACATCACAACAGGCACCAAGTCAAACTAACATTCTGATAAGTAAATTTAACTTATTTGATAAAAGTAAAAGGAAAACTAGAAAACCTTTATAATCCTAAAAACTGATTTGAATGAACTTTCCCTTGCTTGGAATATAATTGCTGCTTCGCTGCAGATGTATTTTTTTAACGTAGCTCTTACAAGTACATGAATTAAGCTCTTGCTTAGTTTTTGTGTCCTGAATGTGCAATTAAAACATCGTTACTCTGCAGTAGCAGGTTTTCTCATTTAAACTAGAGAAAAGCTGCCATTGAGCTGGTCGTAATTGTATGTGAATGCACTTGTCCTATCTTAAAGCACCTTATATAATGAGGTATTACAAAATGAAAGAACCTTTTGGTCTAGAATAATCCTTCAAGAGTAAGCTGACCGACAGCATTTAGGTATAGATGAAACACTGTAAGGCAGTGACATGTGAATCATCTTCATAAATCTACCCACATATATAAAAAAATTAAGGCTGTATTTTACTTTCTTGGCAATGGAGGTGATTCCTATAGCCATGAAAACCGTTGGATTTTCATGCCACAGTTTAATTTTCCTTCCTAAGAATGTCTGGTGCTGGCTTGGCCTGAACATTTATTTTAACATTTGAGGCACCAAAAGCCAGCTGTATAATACTTCTGCTAGGGTCAGCATTTCTACTAAATGACCTTGTTATCTGTCTTATAAATTCTCTAAAAATTTAACAGCCTTGGGTGATTGGAAGGATAATCCTTTCAAACAGAGAGCATTGCCCTAGCTAACTGGTATAACACAGTGTGTGGAAGCAGAAAATGTCATATAATCTAACTATACTGCTGGAGAGAACCAAAACACCAAGCGTAATGGAAGAGGGGTGGCCTTACTCTGATGAGTTTTATACTACTGTTACTACCTGCTCGTCTGAGCACACTGGACAAGTCACTTAAAAATCTCTGAATTTCCAGGGTTTCTACCTGCTGAGTGAGTCTGTTGGACCCAGTGAGCTTCTCATTCCCTTCTATCCCCAAACCATTCTGACATTTTTAAGAAGCACTAATTCCAAATGGGATAAAACTTTATCCAGATTACCTAAATTCAGTGGTGGTATAACCACTGGGTAGACTTCATTTTTCTAAGAAGCCTACTCATTATATTAGAATGCAAAACTAGTAAGCTTTTACCACAAACACAACATCTGTCAATGGCTTTCAGCTTCCTATGCTGTGCAAATGAAGATCTTGACTGGAAATGAATCTTTTGAACAGATGGACCTGCACTATTTCTCGGAACTTTGAAAGCTGTACAGGGCGCCTGCCATGAACTCTTCTATGTGACTCATGAAAGCAGATGACTGTCTGCTTTGCCATTTATGCACATTCATCTACTCACAAGCAGATCAACTGATTCTGTCTGGATGACATTCACTGCTAGCGCACGTGCACACACACACACACACACACAAACATTCCCTGATTTTTCTTTGGGTAGTTAATAAATTCCTTTGGGACATTAAGGAAATGTAAGACTTTTCTTCTCCTGGCCCCTGTTCACACCTTGTGTTTATTTCAGGTGGAAAATGACCCCCAAAATTAAGATCATTCTGAAAGAAACAGATAATGGGATCTAGTTATGTTTCACTTCAAAACATTGAAAAGTTCTTAAAAGGGGAAAACAATTATATTTGAATACTTGGAGGTAATCTGAGTAGACTTAAAAAAATATTATTTCATACACCAGCATAGTTCACCCATTTTTAGAGACAGTTGAGATTTTGAACTCAATTGGAAGGTACTTTACCTGCCAAATTTGATATTAGGTTCATTTTTTTAGACTCACCTCTAATTTATAAAGGCGTAGTTTGAATTGATAGTTTTTATCCACTTTCTGACTTAAAGCCTTACTTGAGAAGTTTAAATCTATCTGTTCAAGTATCGCACTTCTCAAGAACTTCAGCCTCACGGCATATGAGGGCTAGCAGAAACAAGCAGTATGAATCGTACTCAAAAGGTGAAGTTAAGTGGAGTTGGGGAGAAGGGCTGAAACATGGAAGAAATTCTTCTTAGTAGCCTAGAGATTACTAAGAGCAACATTTTCTCTGAACTTCCTGGATAGTTTGAGTTACAAATACAAATGGCTCTTAGTTAACAACCTTTCCTCGAGATACCTGTCTGAATAAAGAATATGTTGCTGTCACTTGGAGAAGAACTTGGTGGAACCTGTACCAAGCTAGTATCATGCCTGAAGTAACACATACACTCTCCTCCCCTCCCTATCTTTTTCCATAATACCACATTTGGAGATGATCCTTCCATATGTGATAGATCTTTCGAAAAAAAATTTACCTTCTGTAAGTTGCAAAACTAGAATGTATTTTCTGAAAAACAGTGTAATATAGTCCGTGATGTGGTGCTTTGCTTTTTCCCTTCTATTTCTCAGGTAGATAGTTCCCTGGGGTGTTCTTGGTTTTTGGTTTTAGAATACTAGCCACAATTCTGTAGCTTCAAATTCCTAAAGTTGGTCAAAATGTGACTCTTTAGCTATTTCTCATTGTTTAGATGCTAGTTTGACATAGCTGAATCAATTATAGGGCAATGTAAATATATGAAGATTGGACCATTAGATAAGAACACAATCTTCACTTGGTTTATGGAAATTCAGTGAAAGCCTGATGGCTCAGTACTTTTCATGCTGATTTCCACATTAACATGCAGGTTGAACACTGACAGAGGTCCACTAATACACCCAAAGTTTTGTATTATCCATTTCCCGTTCTTGGAAAAACAATATCAACTGCAGTGTCACTGTAGGTGACAATATTAGGTTCACCTCTTTGTGGCAGTTTTAATTTGTGGTTCTCATTAGTTCAAAGAGTGATGTCCCCTTAGTTCTATAAAAGATAGTTCAACGCCTTTCTTTACTGACCACTGAGACAGTTCTTTGCCTTCTGATCCCTAAAGCTGTACCGAGTTCATCTTTCCCTCTGAAATCAGAAGCACCTGGAATGCTAATGGTAACTATAAGAAAGAGTAGGTTACAGTTAGTCCTGTAACACAATGTACACACCTGCTGCTCTGGGAGAAATAAACCAAGACGAGAGCCCATTTCAGGAGATGTTTTGAATCTTTACTCCTCAACGAAACTTCTGTCCCTTCCTTAGAATCCGACCAACACTAGGATTCGCCACACTAGTGCTCCAACGTGGAGCCACAATTTTTTTGAGTGTGGAAAAATCAAAAATTGTCATCAGGCACAGCAGAAACCTTCTCTTTCTACTTCTCCATTCGAACTTGAAGAGTTTTACACGTTTGCCTAAGGAATAAACACATGTCAGGTACTCCACTGTTCAACAGATGACTACAAGAAGCAAACCTGGGAGAAAGGGAACATTTCAACAAACATAAAGGGATAGAGAGACAATAACTTCCTTTACATCCATAAAAGTCACAATGGAGATAGGATTGCATCTCTCCCTAGAGGATTATAAACTCTTAGAACATTTTTTTTTAATTTCAGAAAAACACATACTCATAAATGGGACCTAAAATAAAAAGCTATTGCAAGAAATTGATACAAAAGTCATAAGAATTTCTTGTTAATATTTTGGGAAGCATTCTGCGCAAACTTAATAAAAAAGTTCATTAAAATCAAGGGAGAAAGTATATAGAAATCCATACACAACCATTTTGACATAAAAGGGTAAAAGAATTATACAAATAGTATTATGTAGTAATATTCCATTACAATTCAAATATTTACTATTTGCTACCTTAACCATTCATAGGTTTTCCTGGACATCCATGTCTTTAGTAATTTGTGATTTTGCTATAGCATGAACCTGAATCATACCCTTACACATACATTTAATGCTGGTAAATGGGGCCAAGTCATTTAACCAATGTATAGTATAGGTCTAGCCACCCACAAGCCAGCTTTGTTAGTCTCTGCTCATCAACTATGTAATCCTCATTAACAGTCTGAATGAAATCCATGACATTTTTCAGTTGTAATTTATGACATTTTCTAGATACTTTCAAAGCTTTTCTTTATCATCTCTTTTCCAAAGTACTCCAGAGATACAAAACATGTACTATTTGAATTTCAAATATTTGAATAATTTACTATTTGAGAGCATAACATGAATAACAATAATAAATAATAAAATCATATGAAGGAGTGGCTAGTAGTTTCGAATTAGACAATAGAAGGTTTTGGTAACATGAATCAAAGTAAAACATTTCCTACATAAATTTGAGAGCTGAGGATAGTTAAAACCAATAGCATAAAAAAATCATGTTATATTATAAAAAAAGTATTTCCCAAGTTTGAAAAAACAGATTGAGTCTTTGAGTAGTAAGAACCAACCCCCTGTCCCCGTCATGCCTAGATCTCTCCCTACCTCACTGGAAAATGTAAGACTAAAATATGGCCTGAGAAGGAATGAACCTTTTGAGTTCCAGTCACCATGATCACTTGATTTTATCCACAGGTCAGAGCCAGTGCAGTCATACGTAGTAGGTCGGTGTCACGACTTGCCAAAGACACATGTGACAAAGGATGAAGCTGGAGAAAATTTAGAGGAGCTTCATATCAACATACCCACCTTCCTCTCTCCATCTTTCCAACCCCTTCAGAGAGACACAGGCTCAACTCTAGTCATAACTAACTAATACTCACAGGACTTGATATGCCCATTCAGAGCTCCTTCTCTGTATATATATTTTAGCTTTGCCTGAAATACTTGTCTTTCAAGTCTCAGAAGAAATGTTACCACTTCATAATTCATAAACCTTTGTGATTCATCCAGTCAGCACTCTGTCCATACATCTAAGACATATCTCATATTTTGATTATTTGTTAATCTCCTTGTTTCTCGCACTAAACTATGATGTATTAGAAAAAAGATATTAGCATACATTTTGCTTCGTCCTTGCTAAGCAGCATTCCAGGCACATATATGATGCCTAGTATTTATTAAATACTGAATGCAAAACTGAAATGATGGGTGGGTGGGTGGGTGGATAGATAAATGGACAAATGAAGGAATGAATATAAGAGGAAAGTGATACGTAATTTCAAAAGAAGGAAACCTAGAGCTACTATTTGGATTCTCTGTGAATAGCTAAGGGAACGATTAAGTGACCCAAAAGGTCAGTTCCTCCATTCTATTTTTTCAGGATTATTCCCATGATTCTCTGGTTTCAGAATTTGAAATTATAGATATGTATGGGTCCTGACATCAGTTTCACATTCGCACCTTGGATATTTAAATTTATTCTCATCTGGAAAAGGTCTGATTTTTAAAACAAAATTAATTCATGAAAATAATAATGCAAGAAGATAATAGCAATGTGTGATGCTTTAATTGGTATTAGACTAACCACTTGGGATGTGGAAAATGTCCAAATTGATACATCAAGGTTGATTCTGGCATACTCATTACAGTTAACATTTCAGTTAGAAATTATCCTAATTTTTTTTAATGCACTTCTCTCTTGAGTAATTTCCATACTACTGCTTAACACTGTCAGGAAAATTTTCTCATGAAATATTCCATGGTGACAATTATCCTACATCTAAGTATTACATGCTCACTTGACATCAGGTGTGGTGGTATAAATGAAATACCATCAAATTTCTTATAATAGAACAAAGTAAATAAATACCACAATGATGGTTTCACCCCCAAAATAATACTGTGCATACAATCTCTCTTTCTTATACACTGATTATATGCTCTATATTTAGTTCAGGATCCCTGACCCCTGCCCCCATTTTTTCCCAAATATAGAGGCTAGTATTTTAAAAGGCAAAGAGAAGTTAATTTTTGCTTAGCGAAATGCAGCAGACTCCATTTTCTGGTCTAGACTAGAATGCCAAAGACAGCTGATCCTTCTCCTCAGGGAAGCCTGGAACCCTCCTCATGCTTTCTTTTGCCTCCACCTCTCAGATCATAATTGCTGGTATCAATAGACAACTTAGGGCACATTTGTTTTCTCTTGTAATCCTCAAAGTTATTCTTCAAGACTATCCCCATGTACTACTTACAGATGTTAGGCCTTGTTTTTAGTTACTATTATCTTCAACTTACAGTTGAAGAAACTGAAGTTCAGATAAATTAAATGAAACTTCTGGAAGATGCATCTAAGGAGCAAGTGATAGCCTGGGGACTGAGATCCTCATTCTGGGGCTTCAAACCCAGTGAAATAGGTCCTGCACGTCTGGTTCTTCCATTCATTCACTTGACTAATATTGACTGAGCACATACTCAGTAGCAGACACTGTCCTAGGTGTGAAAAAAATCACTAACCCTATGAACTGACAATCTAGAAAGGCAGACAAACAACAGACACAGTAATTAAAATTTTCAAATATGTTAGCCATGCCAGGAGAAAAGTAGAGTCAAGAGGAAGAGGGAGGTTTTTGTGGTAGTTAGCATAGACAGGGAAGAGTTGCTGAGAAATGAGACCAGTAAAAGCCTACAGCAGTGAGGGTCAGTCGAGTTAATGGCTGGGGGAAGAGCTTTTTAGACAGAGGGAACAACATGTGTAAATGACCTGACACAAGAAAGGAGGATGGTGTGGTGTCAATGGAGTACACAAGGAGAGAGTAGGAGATGAGGTTGCAGACGTTATTCAATCATCAGTTTCTTTGTTCAACAAATGTTGTTGCTTCTATGTTACCTACTGAGGATTGGGGCAAAAGCAGATATGGTCCTTGTTCTCATGTGGGCACACAAAAAAGGAACTAGACACACACATGCTGCATACCTTCCTCCTTCCAAAAGTCTCATTCCTGGAAGTCAGAACTGGATAGAACCCGAGTGAACACAAGAGACCACAATGATGACTTTTTAAGCCCTGTGAAAGCCACTGTTCTTTCTTTTCAGACAGTGAGATTTACAGAGTTTTACAGGAGAGGGTAGTGAGCCAGTCTGTGTGTGTACAGGAAGCAAAAGTTTTTTTCTGGCACAT